CTGGCTGATTTTCCTGAGTTCTAAATAGATTCTAGTTATCAGCTCTTTATCAGATATGTAGCTTGCAAAAATTGTCTCCCATTCTGTGGATTGTCTGTTTGCTCTCTTGACAGTTTCTTTGGATACGCAGAAGCTTTTTAATTTCATTAGGTCCCATTTATTTATTTTGTTGCTGCTGTGATTGCCTTTGGGGTCTTCTTCATAAATTCTTTGCCTAGGCCAATGTCTAAGAGAGTATTTCCAACATTTTCCTCTAGAATTCTAATAGTTTCACACCTAAGGTTCAAGTCTGTTACCCAGTGTGAGTTGATTTTTGCGAGAGGTGAAAGGTGTGGGTCTTGTTTCAGTCTTCTACATGTGGCTATCCAGTTTCCCCAGCACCATTTATTGAATAAGGATTCTTTTCCCCAGTGTATGTTTTTGTTTGCTTTGTCGAAGATTATTTGGCTAAATGAGGATAGTTTTATATCTAGGTTCTCTGTTCTGTTCCACTGGTCAATGTTCCTGTTCTTGTGTCAGTCACAAGCTGTTTTAATGACTATAGCCTTGTAGTATAGTTTGAAGTCTGGTAAATTGATACCTCCTATTTTGTTTTTATTGCCTAGGATTGATTTTGCTATACAGGATCTTCTCTGGTTCCATAAGAAGCGTAAAATTATTTTTTTCTATATCTGTGAAAAATGATGATGGTATTTTGATAGGGATTGCATTGACTATATAGGTCACTTTGGGTGACAGTAGTATAGACATTTTATATGTAGTATAGACATTTTAACAATGTTGATTCTGCTGACCCATGAGCATGGTATATTCTTCCATCTGTTTACATCCTCTGCTATTTCTTTCTTCAGTGTTTCATAGTTCTCCCTGTAGAGGTCTTTTACCTCCTTAGTTAAATATATTCCAAGGTACTTTATTTTCTTTGTTGCTATTTTGAAGGGAATTGAGTCTTTGATTTGGTTCTCACTTTGACTGTTGTTGATGTATATGAATGCCTCTGATTTCTGTGTATTGATTTTGTATCCTGAGACTTTAGTTCAACCTCTGTGGAAAGCAATATGGAGATACCTCAAAGAGATACAAGTAGATCTAAAATTTGATCCAGCAATTCCACTACTGGGCATCTACCCAAAAGATCAAAAGTCACTTTATGAAAAAGACACCTGCACTCGAATGTTTATAGCAGCACAATTCACAAGTGCAAAGCTATGGAAACAACCCAGGTGCCCATCAATTCATGAGTGGATTAATATAATGTGGTATATATATACCATGGAGTACTACTCAGCTTTAAGAAACAACGGTAATATAGCACCTCTTGTATATTCCTGGATGAAGCTGGAACCCATTCTACTAAGTGAAGTATCTCAAGAATGGAAAAACCAGCACCACATGTACTCACCAGCAAATTGGTAATAATGGATCAACACCTAAGTGAACATATAGGAGTAACATTTATTGGGTGTTGGGAGGGTGGGAGAGGGGAGGAGGGGATGGGTGTATACAACCACAACGAGTAAGATTTGCAACGTTTAGGGGATGGACATGCTTGAAGCTCTTACTTGAGGGGAGAGGGGGGCATGGGCAATATAAGTAACCTTAACACTTGTACCCCCATAATACACTAAAATAAAAAAAAATAAATAATAAATAAATAAAAGTCATCACAAAGGCAAAAAATAAAAAATAAAAACTGAGAAGCCTGGAGGAGGGGCTCCAGAGAAGAAACTCAGCCATCTGAAGAGCGATGCCAGCTGGCTGGTGCTGGTGTCTTTGAGAGGGGCATGATGAGACAAGTTTTAGAAATCTGCAAACTTAACTCAGCTGCATCTCTGAGAAGACACTACCTCTGCAGGGTGAAGAAGAAACAGGAAGCCCAAAGGAGGCAAAAAGAAAGGAATAAATGCCTTCTTCTTCCTCCAGGTTTGGCAGAGCCTGTAGGACTGCTTGCAAAGCATAAATATGTATCACAAAATAAAGACTAGTAAGATGGATTTGGAGCTGAGGGATGATAGCTAATGAACAGTCTACTCTTTTGACTACTCTTCATTCTTATACCCCCTTTGCACATATTTCAACTTCCATAAAGCACCAAAAACAATTCCTGTTCCCACTTAGCAAGATGCAACTAATCTTCTTGCAAACAAAGATATTCTGATCCCCTCCTTAAAATTAGGGTTACAAACTACCAACACCTAAAAGATCTATGTCTGGAAAACAGTCATACTATTCACTTGTAGATTGTATTAATTGCTCCTCAAATTTAGTCCCAATCCAATTTGAATATCCTATTAACTATAGACTAAATTTTATTGTAAATGCTCAATAAAATATTAAGGGAGAAAGTGGGAAAAGAAGGAGAATGAAAAATAATTTTCACAAATATGCATATACACATACACACACACATATACACATATCCCAAGCAAATAAAGACATTATCTACTGCTATAACAGTCCTCCTTTTATAACTGCAAGTGAGTACATAGTTAATATTTATAATTTACTCTTCTATTGTTCATCTCATGTTTTTTTTTGCCTAAAGCTAGTACCTAGCTGGTTGAGGTTCCTATTTGATGAATTTCCAGTAATTAATTAATTACCTCTCAGATAAGCCATTCATTTATCTTTTCCCTAAGGTTTTATACTGGAGCTGGATCCTATAAACATTTCTTTCTTGTCAATTGGCACAATGTTAATCTCATGAGCATAATTAGTAGGGAGTGGAAGAGAGACATTGCAGGAGGATGGGCCTTCTCTTCCTGGTTGCAATGGGCTCCCTTCTGCTTGCTCCTGTAACACATAACAGCCACTGGTACATGCAACATCTATGTGCTCACTTCTGAGCAAGTTTCCACGGCAACCCTAAAAGTGATTTCCCAGTGAGTTCTGCCAATATTCCTGATGGCTTCCCACTGAGTTTTCTGGGTACAATAAGAAGAGAGTTCCCTGTGATTTTTGGCAGGATCTCTTTGCCAGCTTCCCAGTGAGTAAAAAAAAAAAAAAAAAAAAATTCCAGTGGTCAATTTCCTGGTAAGTTTTCTCTGCATCTCTGAAGGCTTTTTCCTCCTTGCCAGCCTCACCCTGTACTTATTGAACTTCTCATAAAACTTATCCACCATTCAGTGGATCACAATCATGCTTTATCCAATGAGGTCTGAATCTCAGCTTTATAAAGGTTCTTTTTCCAAACTTGTTTCTTCCTTTGTTACTCTGCCTCAGACTTTGAGGTGGTAACTACTCTCTATATCTGCTATTTCTGCATTCTTTGAAGTCTCTTAGCTCCTTAGGAGTTAAGCTCTACTAGAAATTAACAGTTACTATATTTTATATTAGAATTTTCCCATTCAAATTACTGTGTAATTTCTGTCTACTGACTGGATCTTGAGTAATAAAGAACTAGTACCAGGAATAGTCCCAGGAAATGCAAAGACAACATGTGAAGATTGGTTTGGTTGTGTGGTCTTGAGTGCAATACTGAGTTTTTTTAAATGGGAGATGGGAAGATAATAATCCATGGCATGCACTGGTATCACAATTAGTCTACACCTATGATCGATTTTCACTAATTGCCTACTGAAGCAACTGCTTCAGGAACCAAAGTAACTGTTGTAATTGATTGTCATGGTAGTAAGGTGACAACAAACTTGTGGTGTGAATGGAAATGCCCAGAATGCACTGGACATTTACAAATAGAAAAATGACAAACTTAGGTATTTTAACTCTTAGCTGAAGTTGTGATCTGAGAGCTAGGCAGTTTCTGTGCAACAGCCTTAAAAGAAACTCTATTTTTTGTAGCCACAGGGCTGATGTTGCAGAAGATGAAATGCAAAATTAAATTGAGTGGGTTGAAGTTGGAGTCTCACCATGTTTCTTATGTGAAAGTTAGAGCAATAAATGGGATAGAATGGAACTCTAAAAGTTTAAATGGGTACCTCCGTTTGATCCAAATGAAATTAAAAAACTTGAACCCTGAAGTCACTCTGAACTTCCACTGCTAGTGCAAATAGCTTGGCCTCTGGTGCCTGAAGATCTAGTCTACGTTTTCCTGAAGCCCTTGTAATATTATAATCTAGGGCAGAAGCCTTGGAGGGGCAATCTCTTTCCCATTAGTAATTACCACAACTACCCATTTCAGCCTACTTTTAGGGATTATACACTATAATCAAGAAGAAAATAGACTACACATCAAAAAATTACTCTCTCTCTATAAAAATATATGTTTGTATGTATGTATATATATAAAGTACATACATATATATATTTATAAGAATTACAAGATGTATATATCAGCAGAAATACTGGAAATATGTGAAAGTAGATTCTGAGACCATTAGTGCAAGGAGGTAGGGATATATTAATATTATAACAGTTCAAGGCAAATTTATTAATTTGGGTAGACTTACTAGAAGTTAATGCTGATTTAATGTGTTAGCTTGTACAATTGAAACTGCTTTAACAGTTCACCTGGTTTGAATGACTAAGGTTGAACTCAATGGAGGCCAATGTTTTATGAGGTTGAGATGTTAGAGCTGGTATGATGTATCAAAGTAATCAAACACTCCAAGAGATCAGACTGTTGAAGTGGATTTGTTATATGCAAACTGCACATCTACTTGCAAATGACACCCTCCAAGAACATTCAAAGATACTATCTACCTTAAGGTGTTGAAAAGTACATTACCAGGGGATCCCTGCAAACTTGAAATGGTCTATGGCTTCTCTCCTCTATAGGCCAGATATGACTGTAAGGAATATCATAATTGAGGTCTGTTTCTGATGTGAATGGGGATGATGAAACCCCAGAATCGCAGAAGCAAAGTTGCAGCACAAAGCTGTCAAAGGCAAAATGGGAGTATTACCAAAAATGAAGCAGTGATGTACTGGTGATGACAATGCCTTGGTTTATAGGGATATTTGGTTGTGACTACTTGATCTTAATGTCCCTAAAAATGTAATAGATGGCCATCCTGCTAAACTATTGGTCATTCTATTATCAGGTCCAGCATCTTGACGGACTGTTGTTCTGGCTCTTTGGCCCCTTCCTTGGAAGAATCACAAGGAAGCCAGTGAGACGAAGTGAACACAAACAGGAAGCAATTCCACACAGACAGCTTTCATTAAAGAAGGAAGGAAGGAAGAAGAAAGCTACACAAAGTGAGCATACATCCAAGAGAGACAGGAATGGGTCAGTCTCCATGGAGTGGAGAAAGTTGTTAAGGGCTCCCAGGTGGTTTCCTCTTATTGGCTTGGTCCAGGAGGGTTTGCAAGGGTACAGGATGTTAACAGATGATTGAAATATGTGATTGCCAGGTGTTCTGTGTTTTATTACAGTCCCTTCCCTGATTGGTCCTCAGCTTCTGTGCCCCTAGGAACCACTCTCCTGGCATGTATCTGCCACCTGCAGATTTGATCCCTGCCTAACACTTTGTAACAGAAAAAAATATCTCTAGACCTGAAGAATAAAGATCCTACTTAAGTTACCACAACAGAGAATGATCCATATTGATTTTCCAACTTGTGGGACAAAGACTTAATGGAAGTGCCTAGAACTTATTCATCCTACCAAGAAGGTAGTATCACATCCCCGTTATACTCACCAGTTTGGCCTATCCAGGAGTCAGATGGATCTTAGGTAATGACTGTGGATAATTGCAAACATAATCAAGTGGTGATTCCAATTACAGTTGCTATTCCACAGGTGGTATCTTTACTGGAACAAATCAACAGTCCCTGGTATTGAGCTATTGACTTATCTAATGTATTTTTCCCATAACAATGTAAAAGTACCACCTGAAGCAGTTTGCCTTTACCTAGTGGTACCAATATGACATCTTTTTCATGGGTAGTTTCCCAATAAGTTCTAGGATTCCAGCCATCTTCCCACTGGGTTCAGGGGCACCACTGCCAGCAGCTTTCCAGCATGTCTCAGCAGCATCCTGTACATAAATACCTAGCAAGTTTCATTCTGCTTGTTAGCCTGGCCTGCTTCCTGTGTCTGCCATTTCTGTATTCCTTAGCATCATCTCTACCCCTTGCTAGTTAATAATTACTTACACTTATTCACCTGCTCAAATTACTGGTGTGGTTGTCTCTTGTCACTGAACTCTGACGATAGTTCAATAGTTTTGCTACATAGTCTTTGCTGCTCTGGGATCTCATCAATCAGAAAGCCAAACTTGATGGCATCTCCTTCACTATAAGTGGCCTACAGGGTGGGTGCGGTGGCTCACGCCTGTAATCCTAGCACTCTGGGAGGCCGAGACAGGTGGATTACTCGAGGTCAGGAGTTCGAAACCAGCCTAAGCAAGAGCGAAACCCCCGTCTCTACCATAAATACAAAGAAATTAATTGGCCAACTGATAAATATAGAAAAAATTAGCCGGGCATGGTGGCACATGCCTGTAGTCCTAGCTACTCAGGAGGCTGAGGCAATAGGATCGTTTGAGCCCAGGAGTTTGAGGTTGCTGTAAGCTAGGCTGATGCCACGGCACTCACACTCAGTCTAGCCTGGACAACAAAGCGAGACTCGGAGGCTCCCATTATCCTCACTAATGTACCTCCCAATGCCTTATGAATCTGTCCTCAGGGACCTCCAGGAATGGGAAGAGTGAGTATGTAGGTCACATATGGCAAATCTATTCCAAATTCCTTAAGTCCAGAGGCTTCTTGATTCCTTTCTCTACTTTATGCCAGGGAAGTTCAGCCATTTCAACCTCATTAATTTAGGCCATAGGTAATTATGAGTCTGTGTCAACCAACCAAGCAAATTATAAAATATTTTCGAGAGGCATAAGCTGACACATTAAATCTAAAATCTCTGATAAATGTAGACAGATGAATAGATTTTGGTATTCGTTATATTCCGTTCTTATTGGTTTAATAACCTTACAATCCATTCCCATGCATATTTTCCAGGCTTTTAAAAATACAAATTAGCAAAATCTTGTAATTCTTTTTATATAGAAATGATTTCCTCTCAGGACAGACTCTGCACTCACCCTCCTAGACCATCGCGAGATCTTACTCTAATTACTGGTCTAGTGGAAATAAAGGGTTATGGGATGTGTCTTGAAGATAATAGGCATCTCCTTTCAATTCAACTTCTTCAGGTGAAGTAATTTCAAGCAAAGAAGGCTAGTCTCCTCAGACACAGGATGACAAGTCTCTTGCACGGGTAAGGCAGCCCAGAGTCACTCATGGTTGCAAGATTACATGATTGGTATCTTCGTCTGAATCCAACCAGATATCCCCAAGCTTACTTTCAGACTCCCATTCCTTCTCAATCCATGCTTCAATTTTCTCACATGAAAGACTCAGTGAGGTTATGAATGAAACTTAACGGCAGTTGTGTAAACCACACAATTTAATTCTGTGTTTTGATTTTCAGCCATATTGACCTTGCAGTTATAATAAATATTTTTAATGGCTACCATAGACATTTTTCTTATTATTAGACTCTCACTAGAGGTAAGAATTTAAGAACATGAGCTTGCCCCCTTTTTCTATAGGCACTCTAGTGTACTCAGAACAATCCATTACATGCACTCTAATGTGACCCAAGCAACAGCAACTTGAATCCCAAAAAAGTTACTTCACTATACCCATTTTTGGAATCAACCACAGGTGATATGATTAATCATGATGCCAATGAGTGGCATGGACCAGCATCCTATTTTTTCCTTGACTAACAGATCATCACTGTATTCAAACTCAAGAGCAGAACAAATACCAAAATTTCCTCTTTGTAAGTCTATTTTCTGGAACTAATTCTGACATCAGTTTCTATATTATTAAGGGTGCAATCAACAGACAAAAGACACTCCACTTGTTGAACAGAGAAAATTTTAAACCAGAAACTATTAATGAGGCATAAAGTTATGAACTAAATAACTGAAAAGTCAATAAGAGAACACTAAGTATCAGAGAGATATCAACTGAGGGAAACATATCATACCTAGGACTAGAGGAACAAATTGAAGAGAATGGAGTCATTAAAATTGGAAACAAGTAAGGAAGACCCACTAGACCTGAAACTTGACTCTTTGCTGAGAGAGTTCTGCTTGGCTGTTTGTTACTGGTGTGTCTCAGATCTCAGAGCAGGGTCATCATGGGGCTAGAATCCAGACCACTTGCTGGGGTGGGAAGGGTGTATTGGCCAGATGGTTTTGGCATCTCAGAAGATGATGGGGGTCATAAAGAGACTGTGAGTGTTGGAAAAATGAAAAACTGGTTTGGCTACTTCTCTGGGAAGAAATTGACCCCCTTTGGGGTGCAAAAGGTAAGGTAGCATCCACAGGAACAGAATGTACATAGGCAAACCACAGAGAGCTAATAGGAGCAAGTCCCTTTTTCTTCCTTCAGTCTAGTAGTTTCTTTCTAATACTCTGTTGACCATACTGATAGAGATCCAACTGGAAAAAAGAAATGTGCTTCCTAGAGCCCCAACCTACATATCACAAAGCAGAGCATAGTTTGGTGAGGTTGAAGCTGAGTGATAATCCACCAAGTACCCAAAACAGAAACCTTACAGAATTTGTTGCATTTCTAGGTTTCACATCCAATAAAGTGCTTCTGTGGCTCTTTTATAAAATAAGATGTGAGTGCTAGTGGTATAGGCTTTACAGTTGTGTTCATGTGTGTTCCTAATAAGAATGCATAAGAAGGAGCATGTAGGTATATCAGTTGTGGATTTTTGCTTTCAGGAAGACAAAACATGAAATACTAGCCAAGTAGTTAAGCAAAAAGAAAATTATTAGGTAATTGTGGAATAGTTCATTTAACTCAAGAGAAATAATGTTCAATATCAAAAAGATGCAAATCGAGCATTCTCTGCCAAAATTATAAATGGAATGCAACAGATGAAAAATAAAGAACTGAGATCATTACAAGTTTCACAATTATTTTATAAAGGCTGACCAAAACTGACAATCAAAATTTCACACTTCTATACTGAAAAAACATTCAGGTAAAACTGGCATTTTATTTATTCACATAATTTGGGAGACTTCATGTTAGTTTCACAAATATGCATATATTCTGTATGTCATTTACTATAGGATTCAATGATGGTAAGTTTTTATTAATCTTGTTGACAAAAATGTAGGGCAGAATTAGTACAGAGTACTTTTTAACCTCTCTTAAGAAGTATTATTGTCAGTATATGCATTTATTTATTCTTGTCTATTACTCAATATAATATAGAATAGTACCTATATTGATCTCTTAGTGTCATTTATTAAATACATGCTTTTCAAGTACTGAGTTTTAAGAAAGGATAAAACAAATTAGCATACCATATTTTGGGTGCTTGACCACAAATGCTCTTAATTTTATTTTATTCTAAGACACACAATGAATTTTATGTAAAAAGGAACATGCAATTAAAAATGAAATGTACAATTTCAATTTAAAAGAGCGAATTATATGGGTGCACATTGAAATATATTTCTGTCAGTGAGAAGATATAAAGTTTAAAGAGATGGGTTTGGCACATCATGCCAAAGTTGTTAGGAGATTTTAAAGCTTTTTTTTTCTGATCTCCTAATAAAGTATAGGGGAAGGATATAGTTCAAGAATAAAAAGATAACTAATGTACTCTTGCCCTAAGAATTTTAATATTTAACTCAAAGTCTTAATTGTTAATGAGAGAATTTAAATTTACTCATTTGTCTAAAGCACATGGATATATAGGGCAATGCTAAAATCAGATCAATATGACCAACTGATATAATTTTGTTTTACTTTGTTTCATACTCATTTCTTCCAACCTTAAGTTGTGTTTTACATTATAGATTTAATTACCAAGAGATAGAAAGGCACAGTGAGATTTCACAGTACATTTTGAGGCTAAGGAGAATGATTCCAAAGTACAATGAACTCTTTTCAAAAAAGCTTTAATGAATACATTGGCAATAAAACCATTACTTTTAAGTTTAAAATTATCCATGACAGTTTTGGAAAATGGTTGTTCTACTTTTTTGTATTTAATTCATGATACTGATAAGAAGTTAGATTTAACATATTATTGCAAATGTAAAAAGAGATGTAATGGCTTTAATCTTATGGAATTCATTTTATGAAGCTAGTAATTTTTATCACATTAATGAAATCATTAATTATGTATTTCTAAAGGAAGAAGATATGGACATATATAACATGGATGATCACCTCAGTAGCAAATTTCTAAGTTGAACCACCAACTTTGATTTAACCTCTCTCATCTCTAACTTCCATCTCCCAACAATAAATCAGAAGGTGATAATAGAGTTAAGAAAGAAGTGAAAAAGCAAATGAGATATTTGAAATGGCAATAAAGATATTTTTCCATT